TTCTATTCATTTTTATTTCAACAAGAAAGTATATTTTAGGGGTTAAAAAACTTTGATATTAGAAATTCTGGTTTGTCTGTCACACACTAACTGTATGAAATTGGCATTCTATGTTAACTACAAGGTGTCTCAAAAATATGTATACACACTTTAACAGTGGAGAGCTCAATTTTGAAAATGAAATATATTTTAATAAACACTGCTTTTATAATTATTCAAAGTGTGTATATACATTTTTGGGGACACTGTATTTTGGTTATCAACTGGTAAAATGGATTTATTTTAGTACCCTCCTCATTGGTTTGATAATTAAATGAAATATGTCATAGGATGTATTCAATATTTACTTATTATGTATTTTTTTTGTTTTGATCATGATGATAATTTTTCTGAATAAATACATTGAAGAACCCAGTCCACCAAACAACCTAGGCCTGCTTCCAATAACCCTCAGAAACATGATTGGAATGGTCACCCACCACCCTAGATCCTGAAGTCACATCCAATGTGATAGAAGTTGCAGCAGGTAAGAAGTGTCTGGCCCAGCAGGCGTGGCTCAGTGGTTGAACATTGTCCTAGGAACCAGCAGGTCACTGTTCGATTCCAGGTCAGGGCACATGCCCAGGTTGCGGCTGGATTCCCATTTGGAGTGTACAGGAGGCAGCCAATCAATAATTCCCTCTCATCATTGATATTTCTGTCTCTCTCTCCCTTTCCCTTCCTCTCTGAAATCAATAAAAATATATTTAAAAAAAGAAGTTTCTGATTCAAGGGCAAATTATTCAAGGAATGAGTCAACAGATTAGAGCATGATAACAGAATTCACAATTAAGTGGCCTAAAGACATTTTTATGCTCCCATTTGGCAATGGGAAACTAAGAAATGCCAATTTCAAATTCAGAATGTATGATAGAGGAACAAAATGATTACATTTACAGCCTTAATTTTAAAGAAATCTTCAGGTTGAGGCGCCAGGAATTTGTAGATGCTGAACGGAGTTAGAAGGTCACTGTCTATGCTTAGCTGCCAAATGCAGTATCACTGAGCTCTGGCCCAGAAATTTTTGAAGGAGGCTTTTTTGTCCTACTATTCCTTGACTATTAAATCTTCAGCTAGTTAACAATGACTAAGGGAGACACAGTGCGACACAAAATGGAAATGAGGAGTTCTGAAGGGGCTTAGGACAACTGATATACTCTTTCAGATAGAATATATATTTTTAAAATAAGGATGCTGTGAGTTGGCTAAATAAAGTGAGAAGAGTCCCGGCCGGGTAGCTCAGTTAGGTAGAGCATAGTCCCCATACTCCAAAGTTGCTGGTTTGATCCCCAATCAGGGCACACATACAAGAATCAACCAATGAATGCATAAACAAATGGAACAATAAATCTCTCTCTCTCTCTCTCTCTCTCTCTCTCTCTCTCTCTCCTTTCCTCTTTGGATCTAAAAATAAAAAATAAATTTTTTTTTAAATGAAGTGAGAAGAGTCCTTTATATGAGGAAGAGACTGATAATTTGTCATCAGACTTTGAAACTCCGAGATCCAAAGGATATATTATCTCAGTATTTGAACTGTAGCTTTTCCCCAGAGACAGATTTAGAGGCACTACCTAGTCCAGTGAGGGCGAACCTATGACACGTGTGTCAGAGGTGACACGCGAACTCATTTTTTGGGTTGATTTCTTGGTTTTTTTCTTTGTTAAATGGCATTTAAATATATAAAATAAATATCAAAAATATAAGTCTTTGTTTTACTATGGTTGCAAATATCAAAAAATTTCTATATGTGACACGGCACCAGAGTTAAGTTAGGGTTTTTCAAAATGCTGACACGCCGAGCTCAGAAGGTTCGCCATCACTGAGAAGTCTAAATCTGCCTCCTCATGGTTATTCCTCTGCCCTAAGTGGCCTTGTATATGATGAAGCTCTATGACATAAAAGCACAGAATGTTAAGAAAAGGTATCCAAAAGTGTAAAGCAAGTAAACAAGACCAGGATAACCAGTGTCTAAACTACTGCAGAATACTGTGTTATAACTGAGTTTTTTATCTAATATATAACAGAGAACTACAGGAAACAAGAAAAGAGACTAATCTGAATTTTGTTTATTAATTTTTACTTATTTATTTTTCAGGTGGTGTGATTTTTTAATCTATAAAGCATAGGAAAGTCAACAGAGTTCTATAAGAACAACTTAAAAATCCATAATGTTTATACTATATTATGTACATGAAATTTGCTGAGAGGGCAAATCTTGGGTATTTTAGCTACATTTAAGAAGAAGAGAAAAAGGAAACTTGTACAGCAATGAAGTGATGGATATGTTGATTAGCATGGTGTAGGTCAGTGGTCGGCAAACTCATTAGTCAACAGAGCCAAATATCAACAGTACAACGATTGAAATTTCTTTTGAGAGCCAAATTTTTTAAACTTAAACTATATAGGTAGGTACATTGTTATTAACTTAATTAGGGTACTCCTAAGGCTTAGGAAGAGCCACACTAAAGGGGCCAAAGAGCCGCATGTGGCTCACGAGCCGCAGTTTGCCGACCACGGGTCTAGTCTGTTACATGCCCCACATAGGAAAACTTTTAAGTCACTAGTTCCAATCCAGTCAGAGAGCAGTTTAAAGCAATTATGTAGATTCCAGAGACCATCTTTATTAAATGAGACCTGGTGATCTCAGGCCAGGTCCTTAGAAGAATGAGCCTACAAAAAATAACCCCAAGACCGACAGCAGCAATGCTGGGGACCTCCGAACTGGTGGTCAGCGCACATCTAACTCCCAGTCGGTTGAACTCCCGCCCATGGGGACAATTTGCATATTAGTCTTTTATTATATAGGATTCTCTTCAAAACAATCTATAAATTCAATGTTATCCCACCTGCCTGCCTGCCTGATCGCCCCTAACCACTTGCTTGGGGGTGGGGCCAGCCTGCAAAGGGCTGTCTGCCTACCTGATTGCCCCTAACCGCTGGCCTGCCTACCTGATCACCCTTAAGTGCTGGTCTGCCTACTTGATCACCCCTAAACACTCTGCCTGCCTGATTTCCCTTAACCACCTCTGCCTCAGCCCCTGCCACCGTGGCTTTGTCTGGAAGGACGTCCAGAAGGATGTCTGGAAGATGTCCAGTCTAATTAGCATATTACCCTTTTAATAGTATAGATATTTAGTACTTTGCTCTGTTTTTATACATTCTGGTTGTAATTTTATGCACTGGAAAGCTGGTTGTTAATGTTTATTTGAAAGAATAAATATGCAAATATTAGCAAGAATTTTTCCACTTCTTAAAATTTATTTTTAGTTAAGTATAATTGATATGCCATCTTACATTGGCTACCTTTATTTCAGGTATACAATATAGTGATTCAACACTTTTATTATTTACAATGTGATCAGCCCACTATTCTGTTAATTAGCAGGAATTTAAAAACATAGCAACCAATTAGATGTGAATTTATATACTATAAAAACAGAATAATTACATCAATGAGGTATGACAAAACAGATATACAGATCAAAGAGCAGACTACACAGTCAATAAGTATATTGACTGTTCTACATCTAAATTATAATTTAAGGTTTTAAAATTTACAGATCAAAGAGCAGACTACACAGTCAATAAGTATATTTTATTTATATAAAAATCAAAATACTAGTAGAATATGCAGCCTTCAAAATGGTTGAAGAACAGGCCACCAACTAATACATAGCATTAAATAAATTATTTACATATTTGAGAATAATTAAATAAAACCCCTAATCACCCAAGTCCTCAAAACAAACTCCAAATGAAGTTAAAGTTTTATTTCTTTTCTCTCTCTCTCTCTCTCTCTCTCTCTCGTCTTTGTCTTCTATTGCTCTTTTTCACTATTACTGTTTCTATTTCTCTTTTATTATTATCTTCCTATATCATTTTCTATATTTACTGTTCTATTTCTTCCATTATTACTGTATTTTTGACTTTGTGTATGGAATAGCTTCTTAAGAATGAAAAGTATATGTCATAAAAATATGTTAAGTTGACTACATAAAATTTTGTATGACATGTGTGTGACAAAATGAACAAAGTTCAAAGACAACAGAAAGCCATATTCAAAATATCTAACATATAAATAATTGTTCTACATCTAAATCATAATTTAAGGTTTTAAAAATTGAATTTGTGTTATTTTCCCCTTTTTTGTATATGCATTCACTTATGTATATTTCTTGGCATGCCTTTCAGTGAGACTTATTCTTTTACCTTCTCTAGAATCTAGCTGAAGGCTCTGAGAATAATTAGTCATGATTCATTGCTCCTTCAGGACCTGTCTCCTCTTGCCTCCCCTGACAGTCAGCTAAGCACATATAAGTAGACATAGAAACTGTGCCCTCAGCCCAATTAGAAGGAAACAGCAAGAAAGGGGGCGCGTGGATGGATGTGCCTGCTCTCAGTTCCATCTGGATGAGTATGTATCTGACATCTAGGATTAGCTAACTGTAGTTTGCCTCATGATATGCTGATACTGGCTTGTACCATTCTGGGAAAACTGATTATAAACATCTCAGATCTACATTCAGTTGCATTATGGTGGTAGCATTAAAGTAGAAGTATTTAACCAAATAAATTGGTAACTGGTACAGATCAGGGCATTTTTCACTCAGAGAACTGCTTGTTAAATATTTATTAGCACTCCACTGGTTATACCTAACCAAGGACCCCATCCCATTTGAGAGGAAGAATTCACTCTCACTCACCATTGCCGTTTCTGAGCCCCATTCTGAATTCCATTTCTGGCCCCTAATCTTAATCTGATGCTCTGCTACAGTTGAGCAGAGTTTTAGTGTAATAAACTTGTTCACAGATAAAGAACCCCAGCTCTGAAAAACAGTACCATGATCTTATTCAGCCTGTGAGACCCTGATGGTTTTGGTGTTACACTCAGCTCTGACTCTACGTTCCAGCAGGAGATACTGACACCCCTGCAAAGTACAGAAAAGCTTTCCCCATCATCCATGGATAGCAGGTGGAGAAAGAGTGAACTGGTAAGTTAAAAAAAAAAAGACACTGAAAAATATTAAAAAGTGGGAGAAACTATCCCAGTTTTCAAATATATTATTTTTCTTATTTAGTGCATTAAATATGTAACATGGCCCAAATATCATGATAAACAATTTATATATATCATCTTATGTCACTATTTTTGTGTTTCTGTTGAACACCTGGATCTGAGATATGTGACCCCCCCAAGATCACATGTATATAAAATATTAGAACCAAGAATGCTCTTTACTACTATTTTATCATTTTTGCTACTCAGTCACTCCTGTACAAACTACAGAAGGTTATCAGGTCCTTCAGTCCCTAATTTTCACATGAAATCGTTGTCTTTGTGCTCATTATCACTGCCTTTCACTGCCATAAATGACGCAGCTTGAGATTTTTACTACTGCCTTCTGTGTTTGGCATGTAGCCCATGTGGGAATACTCTTCCACACATCTAATCAGATTTCTCTTCCATACACTATGGTTTTTATGTCTCCTTCTTTAAGAAATAAGTTTTTCATCTTTTTAAGAAAATGTCTTAACTATGACTATCTGGAGCTCTGAATTTAATGTACAAGAACTGACAAGTGCTATATATTTTCCAGTCTTCAAGTGCTTCCCAATACCTTCAAGTGAAATCTTACTATGTTATTTCCAATGGTTCCATTGAATTCACGCCTGCAACATTTACCCTTGTCGGTATCCCAGGACTGGAAGCAGAGCACATCTGGATATCTATCCCTTTCTGCCTGATGTACATCATCATCTTCATAGGAAATGGCATCATTCTACATATCATCCGGATTGACCCTGTGTTGCATCAGCCCATGTACTTTTTTCTGGCCATGCTGGCCTTTGTTGAACTTGGGGTCTGTGCTTCCACCATACCTACAGTGCTAGGCATTTTTCTCTTTGGCATTCATGATATCAGCTTTGGTAGTTGTCTGCTCCAGATGTTTTCCATGCACTCTTTTACCCTTATGGAATCAGGTGTCCTTCTGGCTATGTCTGTAGACCGCTTTGTGGCCATTTACAGCCCACTGCGGTACACAACCATCCTGACAATTCCCCGCATCACTGGGATGGGTGCCACCATTGCCTTGCGAAGTGTGATGCTCATGTTACCACTGCTCTTTCTCCTGAAGGGTCTGCCTTTCTGTGGTCGCAACACCCTCACACACTCTTACTGCCTCCACTCAGATCTGATCAAATTGCCCTGTGCAGACACCCGCCCCAATAGCATCCTGGGTCTGTTTGTTGTTATCTCCACATTTGGGTTGGACTCACTGCTCATCGTAGTTTCTTATATGCTGATTCTTCACACAGTACTGGGAATAGCTTCTGGGGCAGGGCGGTGGAGGGCACTCAACACATGTGTGTCACATATCTGTGCTGTGCTTGTGTACTATGTTCCCATGATCAGCCTCTCTTTGTTGCACCGCTTTGGACAGCATTTACCTCCACTCCTGCAGACTATCATGGCCAATGCATACCTCTTCTTCCCACCTATGGTCAATCCCATTGTCTATAGCATCAAAACCAAAGAAATTCGCAATATCATTGTTCGTACACTGTCTAGAAAGAGGAATGAGGTCTAATCAAACAGACATTAACACAGGAACTTGGATCAGACCTATTGCCTGGATATTAGCATTGCAAATGGGAAGAATTCTATAGTTTCTATTGTTTATGAATGAGCTATATGCTTTAGTAGATGAAGAAAACTAAAATAGTTCCCCCTTCCTCCCTGAGAATAGAGAATGTCATTAGTTTGAAGTAAGCTTATCAAGAGACGTGGGACCTGGTTTTTTCCCTAGTGAGGACGCCATTGGTTTATTGAGTCCTTGAATATAAAATTCATTCTTTTCCCCTTGAAAATAAGTAGAATGGTTCCTGGGAGGCTTTTGCTTCCAGATATGTGAAATTTAGTGATATATATTTGTGAGTGAAAAGAATCAGGACACAAAAGAATATGTATTGTATTTTTATCTTTATATGAAGTTGAAGAACAAATATAACTAATTTAGTGTCAAAAACAACAAAACAGTGGTGTTTGATAGGTGTAGAGGTGGAAGAATGACTGGGGAAACACATGCAGAATTTTTTGGTCTGATAAAAATACTCTATGTTATGTTAAATGCAACTTACAGGATTGTATCCATTTGTCAAAATGGTACTGCTAAAATTTATGCATTTCAATATATCTCAATTTTACCTCTAAACTCATAATAATAATTAAAATACTAATAATAACAATAGAAATAATCATTGGGTTACATGGTGGGTGGAAGTATAGAAGATACAAGAATGGCATAATGTCGATCGTTGTTGAAGCTGGATGATGGGTAGATAGAAGTTCATTTTAATAATCAGTTTACTTTGTACATGTTTGACATTTTTTTAAATACAAAATAAAAACAAGGTACTAATGGTGATAATATTAAATCTTTATTGAATGTGTGCCATGAAACAGAACTAACTTTCAGTTGGTCAGAATGATTTGGTTGAAAAATGATTTGACTTTAGGACACCATTTTATTTTTAATGAGCTAAGGTTAGAAAAAATAAATAGCAATCTGAAAAGAATGGTTTTAGGAGGAAATGACTAAAAAACAAGCCCATGCTTTTGTAATAGTCTTCGGTAACACAAATCACTAAGTAGTGGACACCTTCTGGTCACAGAAAGGTAGTAAGGAAAGAAAAACTTGAGGTTACTCTTCTAGACAGGACTTGCAAGGCTCATTTTGTTGTTGCTGTTGTTTTCCCAAATTATTTTGACTTTCCACAAACAACCCTGAATATCATCATAAACCATAGGGTTTTGAATGATTTTTAGTCAACAAAGTAATTAAGGGAGGTTCCTGTTTTGGAATAAATGTAACTGTATAAGGTGATAGGTGGCATAATTTCTCTCTTTTCTACTTTTATCTAATTCATTCAAATTATTGCATTTTCTATTTTTATATATCTATCTTTGAAAATGCTCAATTGAGTGGAATCATTAAAATGGGTTTGGATATTTTTTAATAGCCTTGTCTTTAATTTAAAAAACATATATATTTTTTATGGATTTTTAGAAAGAGAGGAATGGAGAGAGGGATAGAGAGAGAGAGAAACATCAGTGTGAAAGATCCGTTGCCTCCCACATGTGCTCTGAAACCTGGGTATATGCCCTGACCAAGAATTGAACCAGTGACTTTTTGATACATGGGACGATACTCAACTGAGACATACCAGCCAAGGCCTAGTCTTTTAATTTTTTAAGGTAGTTCAAAAGCCTTTTGATAACAATAAATATTGGTAATTTCCAAGACAATTCTGTAAATTACATAGTATTTATCTCATTGTACAAATGAAAAATAATTAAAAAGTTACATACATTTATCAAAATCACACAAAGAAAAATGGTTTAAAGATAAATAAAATGACCCTGATCAGTGTGGGTCAGTGGTTAGAGCATTGGTTCATGCAGGGAAAGGTCGTGGGTTCTATTCCAGGTCAAGGGCAAGTACTTGGGTTACAGGTCTGATCCCTCGCTCTTGAGGCACGTGCTGAAGCCAACTGATGTGTTCTCTTACATCAATCTCTCCCTTTCCCTCTCCCTCCCTTCCACTCTCTCTAAAAATCAATGGAAAAAATATCTTAGATGAGGATTAACAAAACAAATGAACAGAAATTAAATAAAATGATGCATGTAAAACAATTAGCATAGTTCCTGGTAGAATTTGCTCAATAAGCACCTAGATTTTATTAAAGTCATACTTTTCTATCAAATCTGATGAATATGTTAACCCCGCAGCCAATTTTCACAATGCCTGATAGTAATAGCTCTATATCTTAACTTGAAGTTCAAAAACATCATAATTAAATTAATAAAGTAGAATTCAGGTAGAGGAACATGCCTATATCTAAGAAGACTTTAGGTTTGTTTTGGGGTTTTTTTTGGTAAATGGGGATGGCAGAAAAATAACAGCTTATAAAAAGAAAACTTTTGTATGTTAATTTCTCTGCATTTAGCCTATGGGGAATAAGAAAAGAGGAGAGCAAGGAGATGACTGAAAGTTGTAGAAATGATTTCATAGATACTAGATTTGGATGAACCCAAAGGGCTTAATTAATGTTTGGGCCCCAGCCCATTTGGCCCAGTGAATAGAGCATTGGCCTGCCCACTAAAGGGTCCCAGGTTCGATTCTGGTCAAGGGCACATGCCCAGGTTGCGGGCTTGATCCTCAGTAGGGAGCATGAAGGAGGCAGCCAATCAATGATTCTCTCATCATTGATGTTTCTATCTCTCTCTCCCTCTTCCTTTCTCTCTGAAATTGATAAAAATATATTTTAAAAAATATCTTTGGTCCCTCATGGTTATAGCTAGTGGTTAGAAAACCCCTCATTCATGTTTATAACTTCTCTTCACATTCATTATGGAACATTAAAATTGATGGCTAGCAAGTTTTTCCTCAATTTGAGCTCAATAAATTTATGCTGTGCCCCTGAATAATACAAACCTTGCTGTGAGTTTTATTGGAGGATGAATACAGCAACATGATCTCAGACAGACTTCCAGAAGAAGAAGACTGTATTGCCAAGACAGAAGAAAAGCATGAAAGGCTATCTCAGAGATGTCCATGTATTGGCAGATAACCCCAGCCAATGAATTAGGGTTCATGACATTGATTTGGTGCTGTTGCAGGGGTGCAGATAGAAAGAAGAAACGTTGATGTTATAGTAATAAGTTTAGTACATATAAGTAACCTTAATTTGTATTAGTCTGAAACTTCGCTTCTGGGTTTTACTTCTAATACAAAAGGGATTAGTATAAGCAAACTCCATTTTGTGTTGGAGATGAACATTAGAAGTTAAACCTAACCTACAATGTGTGTACCCCGATAAGCCCAGAAGGCACCACCAGAGCACACTGATATGAGACACTGAAGACGCCCCTCCATCGGGTATAAAAGAACGACCCTCACACCAGCGGCCAGACGCCTGTCTGCCCTCCACAGACGAGACGTCCTCCTTACCCTCCTGGAACCTGCCGTTCCTGCTCTGCTCCTGAGCCCAGATTGTTAGAGGCCTCTCTTCGTGTCTAGAGACTGAGCACCTGCCGCGGCGTATCTGACGACCTCCGTGTGTCTCTGTCAGCGAGTGTCTCCGGGTGGCCTGCCAAGGACTGAAACCCATCAGCTCTCTGGTAAATAAACCTGTGTGATTCTTGCATTCTGTTTGTCTCCTATGTCTCCTCTCTTCTTAGTTTTGGTTTAAGCTTGCCCTAAATAATAAAGTACCCTTTGACGTCTGTATTGGTATATCCAAATGAGGCGAACTGGGTCACCTGTGCATAGGTTCCCATAGAAGTGGAACAATTGAAGAGCACAAACACAAGAGACTGAGACCAGAATCTGGGGATGAGAAAAGAGTTGATATGTGATAAAGGATGAATGATAGTGATATCAGGAACTGACAATATTCTACAGGCATCTAGCAAGAGTAGAGCTGGCTCCCAACAATTGGCCAGTAAGTCTTATGCTTTCCCTGTTTATCCCCATAATTCTTCATTACCAGCTTTTCCAGTAATAACCCCTCTATCCCACCAGCCCTGAACTCACTTATGTCCTCTCCCACCTGTCAACCCAGTCTCATTACTCTGGAATAAGTCAGATGTGTGATTGTTCTTGAAGGATTTTTATTCCAATTATGATTATATTTGAGGCAGGAAAACTTTATTCTTAATAGAAAAAGCCATTGATCTATGGATTGGGGTGTCATAAAAGAGCAAACCTGTGGAAATCAAAGTATTGAGTTGACTTACTATCTATCCTAACTATATCAGCCAATAGAAACTTCCCATCATAGAAGCATGCCTACTGACTTGTTTCCTTCACTTAAGGTTTCCAATTCTTTCCTTAAAAAGCATGAGATAAAGCTGACAGTTTTTTCAGGCAAGCAATGGATCCCTGAGCTATGCACTCCCCCACTTTATGTTCCATTTCTTAGTCACACAGTGAGAGCAAGTTGAATCCCAATCTCTGGCTCTGTGAGAAGATGTTTAGACACTGCCATCTCCTGGTGAGAATAGATATATCAGGTCTCTAGGGAATTAAGAACATTGTCCTAAGAAATGATGTTTACTCTTCTGGCCCTAAACCTTCTTCTTTGCCTAGGGAGTAAGAAAATATCTCTTAGGATTTTTAAGAGACTGATGAAGTTTGGTCATCGGGGAAAAATTATGTTAGAAAACACAAATCTTCTATAGCTGGGACCAACAAAGAATGACCTTCTCCTGTAGCAGTCACTTCCCAGTTATTCCTGAACAATGAGTAAGTGGATAGCTAGAAATGTATACTAGATCAAGTGGACATAAGAATATATATCTTAAAGTGCAAACATAAGTGAATCCAATAGTATAAATTTATTTTATAAAAGTAGAGAGTACAAATTTATTTTTGATAGAGTCCAACTTGGAACTTTTAGGAAATACAATTCAATACATTGAAGAATCTGCTTTTGAAGATTGAGAGGTTAAAGAAAATTAGCAGCATGTTATTGGACAAGTTAGGTAGACCTGAATACATTATATTTGAAAAGGAGAGGATCATAA